TAGATATTGCTATATTTACTTATTTCATACTAAAGATGAAGGAATGGAGAATTCAAAATTTATAAAAATAAAATTGAATTACATTGTGAATTGCTTATCAAATGTTTACAGAGTGATAGATAAGGTGAATATTATGATTCTAAGTATTTTGAGTCCACTAGTATTATCCATGAGATTACAACTCCATACATACCAAAACAAAATGGCATAGTGAAAAATAAAAATCGAGTTCTTATAGAAATGGTCAATGCTTTGCTTTTTAATTTAGGTTTGGGAAAAAGATTTTGGGACAAAGCCTTATTAATGGCTTGTCATATACTAAATAAAATCCCAAACAAAAGGACTAAAACTACTCTTTATGAGCTATGGAAAGGAAGAAATCTAAACCTTCATTATTTAAGAGTTTGGGAATGTCGAGCCATAGTAAGAGTTTAAGAACCAAAGAAAAGGAAATTGGGTGAAAGAGGAATTGAATGTATATTTATATGATATGTTAAACACAGTAAAGCATATTATTTTATGGTGATAGAGCCCAATGATTCATATTCTATTAATATAGCCATAGAATCAAAAGATGTTATTTTTGATGAAACAAGGTTCCATTCAATACCAAGATCCAAAGAACTAGTAACAGAAAGTGATAAACTTTCAAAAAATGGTGAGGAAACTATTGAGCTTTGAAAAAGTAAAAAAATTAAAAAAACAAAGACATATGAATATGATTTCCTTATGTACTTAGTAGAAGGTATAAGAAATGAAACATGTGAATACTTATCTTACTACTTTAATGAACAAGTGGAAGGTGATTCTCAAACTTAAGAGGATGCAATGAAGTCTCGAGATGTTTCATTTTGGAGAGAAGCAATACAAGATGTAATGGACTTGATAATGGGAAACAAAACTTGAAAGTTGATAGACTTTTAACTGGGTTCCAAACCAATAGACTGTAAGTGGATTTTCAAAAAGAAAATTAATGTTGATGGAATCATGTATAAGTTTAAAGCAAGGCTAGTTGCAAAAGGCTTTAAACAAAAGAAAGGTATTGATTATTTTGATACATATGCACTGGTAGTAAGAATAACTACAATTAGAGTGTTTATAGCACTTGCATCTATACATAAGATGGTAATTCACTAGATGGATGTTAAAACAACAATTCCAAATGATGAATTAAATAAAGAGATGTCTATAGAACAACCTGAAAGGTTTGTCTTTTGTAATCAAGAAAGGAAAGTGTGTAAGCTTATAAAGTCCTTGTATGGATCAAAACAAGTGCCTAAATAATGCCATCAAAAGTTTGATGAAGTTGTGTTAGGTAATGGTTACAAGATCAATCAATCTGACAAATGTGTCTATAGTAAGTTTTATAATGGTACTAATTTAAAACAAGTGGAGGACACAAAAAGGTGTTTGTCAAAGGATTTTGACATGAAAGATATAGGTGTGGCAAATGTTATTTTTAGTATAAGAATAATGAGAAACAATAATGGCATAACATTGTCTCAATCTTATTACATTGAAAAGATTGTAATGAAGTATGGTAACTCAGATTGTATGCCAATGTCTACACCTTATGATTCTAATCTAAAGCTAGTATCTAACAAAGACAAGCCAATAGTACAAAATGAATATACAAAAGTGATTGTATGCCTAAGGTATGCTATGGTCTGTACAAGGCCTGATTTTGCTTTTACGGTTGGTCAGTTTACAAGTAATCCAAGTAAAGAACATTGGTATGCTGTTTATAGAGTTCTAAGATACCTAAAGAGTACAAAGAATTATGGCATTTGTTATTTAGGTTTTCCTTCAGTTTTAGAAGGGTATACAAATGCTAGTTGGAACTCAAACAGAACAGATCATACATTTACGACTGGTTGGATTTTTACAATTGGTGAGGGTGTTGTTTTTTGGAGTAAACTCCACCATGGAGGCTAAATTTATAACTTTAGCATTTATCACCTAAGGAGCAAAATGGTTAAGAGATTTACTATATGAAATTTCGTTGTAGTCTAAACCAATGATATCAATATTGAAATATTGTGACAATGAAGCAACGATATCAAAAGCATATAATTAAACATATAAAGGAAAGAGTCGATATATTGAACTTCGATATAGCATTGTAAGACAAAGAAATAGTGATGGTATAATCACTATAAGTTATGTGAGGTCTTATGAAATTTAACAGATCGGTTTACCAAAAGTCTTAAAAAAGACTTGGTAATACAAACCTTAAGAGCGATGGGTCACAAGCCTATCAACTAAATCAACAATGGTGGGAGCTCAGTTTGACGCTTGTGGCCAACTTGTAAGTCTTAGGTATTGACCATTCTATCACATGGATGATTGCAAGCACTAATTTATATTTTCTATCCCAAAGATGTATAGTGTTTAGTCCTTATAATGTGTAAGATAAGGTTAAATAAAAATTCTTAATAGACCCATAACATGTATATGTTGAAGTACTATAATTAAGGGGTACTTTGGATAAGGGTTACCTATGTGAGTGGAAGTGTGGCCACTTCTAAGAGCTAAAGGCTTGACTCTGGCAACACTCATGAATGGATGCCAAACATAAGGCTATCAAATGTGTTAGGAAAACTAGATACAAAGTGAGCAAGGAAGCTTGTGTGTGCTTAGTAGCCCGACTAGTCAAATGAATAATCGATGGTTTAATACTTGGTCAACCACTCAATTCAGGCTAGAACCAACCACACTCACTAAGTGAAGGTTCAAATCTATAGGATACCTTCATTTATACATAAGGTTCCCAAAGTTGTTGGGGTTTGGAAATTTTAAAAATGCTGAGGGATTGTTAGTGTGTTTTCAAAATCAAAAGTTATATCACATAATGAAAAGCTATCTTAGCTCAAAAGTTATATCACATAAAGTGACATAAGATGATGATTGAATTGTAAGTAGGTTTTCATGTGAATTGTTATACTTCTTGATAAAATGACATCCAAAGGTTATAAGATAAATTGAAAAAACACCATAGCTCAAAAGTTTAAATATAAATAGTTATTGTTTCAAATTATAATTCAAAGATTATATTTTATAGAATGAATGGTTATCTTTTTATGAGGTGATTATTGAAATAATACCTTTATCCAAAGGTTATGCCTTGCAAAATATAAAAATGTTTTTTAAACAAAGTGATGCTTTAATGAAAGGGTTGTGTCTTTGAAGAAAAGATACTTACAAGCCTATATAAAGGGCTTATTGCTAACTATTTTAACACATCAAATAAAAAACAAAATAAAAATGAAAAAATCAAGAGTAAGAAAAGTGTTATGCTCTATTAACATAAACACTTAAGCTCCTATTAACTATAAAAACGTCTAAATTTTTTATAATCTATTTGCTACAAAAAGTAGGCTTTAAGGTTTAACAACTTTACAAACCCTCAAGTGTATTTAGCGGTCTACTCTCGTAAAGTACAAAACAAAGTTAGACGTTGGCTTCATGGTATCTCTAAAGCTATTTGCATTATTCTCCTTTACATACCTAGTGGTGGGGGTAAAATAAGTCTTAAAGATAACATCTATTAAAAGGTTAATCTTGTAGTCAATTTTTTCGATTCCTTAAATTTCATTTAAACCCTATTTGCACCAACACTTCTTTGGCTTTTTCCTCAACCATAATCTCTTCTTACCATCCATGAGCTCAACCACAATCTTGTCTTCTCCACTTTTGTCTACAACCGTTGGCTTGGGATTTTGACTAACTTTTTCATTGGTGTGATTATGTTTGTGACTTTCTAGAAGTATCACCTTGAGCATCATCGTTTCCAAGGGTAGATGGCATGGACATGGATGTCCCAAGTTACATCGACGCCCATTTTGTGACTAATTTTGTAACAAAAGTCATACGGGTGATCTTCTAATTCTTTTTCTACGCACTCTGCCCATTATTTCACAAACCAAATCTCCCTAGTTATTGGGAGTTCATCTACTTATTTATTCAGATTACACTTGATGCAACCTTAGTTTACTTTGAGGGCTAGAAACCTTTCACGTATTTGATACTTTCAACATTTGTTGGGGGTGGAATGCACTCAATGCGGCAATGGCCGACCATTTCATCTTTGAGCACTATGTATTCAAGCCTGACCAAGAGACATATCCTTACTATGGTCCCCTCATAACATAGAATGTCACAATGAGCACCATGATTTCCCAATGATCCCTAGGAGCAAGTTGCAAATGGTGAAGGAGACTACCCTCGAATATTACATGGGCTTAAAATCATATAAATCTTGGAGCCAAGTTATTTACATGTATGTTATGGATAGTATCGTCAGTTCTTTTAGCCGAACAAAGAGGAAGCTCTCTACAAAATATGAATAGTCAGAGTAAAGGTGTGATCTAATATAGTGAATTGCATATCTGGAATGTTGTAGCGCGGTAGGCTAATGCTTGCATGATGTTTGGTTTCAACTCCGATTACAACTTCAAAGAAAAGGCATGATCTAATAATTGAATGCAAAAATCATTTTTTAAAAGAATTGAATATAAAAATTATTAAGATAGAGGTAGTTTAATTTTCACAATATGCAATGAATTGCATGGAGGGACATGAGTTATTATTGGTTATAAAATTGAGAGAAATAGTGGAGAGGAGCAGAAAAGAGAATGTTACTTAAAGTGAATTGAAAATTACACATGTATCATCATCATGCTTTATTTTGTCATGTGTCACTTGCATGCTTCTCCACTTCAAACTGTCACATGTAAAACATGTGATTATTGGACATATATTTTATTAGACACATAAAAGGGAAATGGAACTCGAACCATGCAAGAGTTTACATATGTCTCCTCTGGTGTATTTTCTTTTTTGCTGTTTCTTTTCTCCTAAAATGAAATTATTATGCATGCTTGCGTGAAACTAAATTGGATCATTTTTTTCTACTTTCTAAAATTTTTCATCCCATATATCTGCATCAAAAATTGATAAAAAACAAATCATATTACTATAAATGTACGAAATGATTGATATATTCAAACTTCTAAATATATAAAAAAATGGTAATAAATAATAGCATTACCTTCCAAGCATCATAAGTGTAGCCTGAGGATTAGTCCCAGGGGAGAAATTAAAGGTAGAACCATCTATAACCCTAAGCCTATCTACACCAAGAACCTTGTAATCGCCATCAACAACCTTTCCAACTTGGCACCCTCCATGATAATGCCAAAAGGTCATGACAGTGTGTATGCAGTATTGTTCCAATAAAATTGTAGAATTAGGACGTTGTGGTCTCAGGTTCATCGGAATGCTCGCCATCATGGTTAGAAGATCTTGTATTGTTGTGTTGCTATAACGAAATCTCGAGTATGATTTGGAATTCACGACGCTGATGATGGTTTTCATGCCTTGGACACACTTCCTTAAGTCCTCCGATGCCTGGAAATAGTTAAACTTGACTTTAGGGCTGTCACTCACATTTGTGCTTTGAAGCTCAAGATAACCCTCTGAGATTGGACCGTTAAACTTCTCCACAATAAACCCAAGATTCGTTGGTGAATTATCCATTGCCTCTTGGGATGTCATAAAGCTTTTTCTGACCTGAAAACATAGCCCAACGCAAAAGACAAAATCTCTCAAACTCATTTGAGTTGATTTAACTTATCATATGATCAAAAAACTAATTTCACATTATTAATATTGTGTCAATATGTTTCCAATTCTGAAATGCGAGGGTGAAGTTTATATAATAAGATAATTACTTTCAATTATCTAACTCAAAATCACATGTAAAAAAATAAATAAATAAACAAAATATCAAGTGAGAGTATAGCAATGGGTAAAAACCTTATTGAAGTTGGCAGGACTTTGAGCGACGAAAAGGGCAGACAAACCAAATCCACTGGCAGCTTCAATATAATTATTCAATTTGGTGATGCCCACAATTACAGCGAGTGAGAGCTCAACGGGCACAGGAGACGGAATGATGAGACCGTTTAATGGATTGTCAGCCATTCCTTGACCCACAATAGTATGGTTCAGCACCACCTGAATACCAAGCGCCTCCAGCTGAGGGGCGGGCCCAATACCGCTCAACATTAACAACTGTGGACTTCCAATTGCTCCTGCTGATGAAATTACCTCACTCCTGGACTTATTTTTCAAGAAAGCCGTGTGCCTTACTCCTTTGGCATCGTAGAAGATCACGCCCTGAGCTTTCGGTCTCGATCCAACTGCCATAACAGAATATTGTAGTCAGTCTGACGAAAATGAAATGGAAAGCTAATTAGGGCATGCATTCTGAAATTGCATTGCCAATGTACATGCCTTCATCCCATATATGAATACGACAAACTGTTAATTTAAGAATCTTAAGGCTGCATTTGACGATTCTAAATTTATATCACTTGAATGCTTGATTGGCATTCCACAGAACCTTTTCATTCTAGTGTGGCCAATGATGACGAAACATTTTAATAGCAGTCAGCAAGTAACCATCAATTGTAAAATATAATCACTAATTTTGTCTTTGTTAACTTATTATAGTTTTTTTTTATATAATTAAAGGAAGAGGGATTTGAAAATGGGATAATACACCAATCAATGAGTCAAATGCTCGAATGCAGTTAAATTATCATAATTGACTTTACTCTATTTAAAATTTTCAATTTTACTTAAAATGTGAGTATCAAAGTATGTAAGGAAAAAGGAAAGCACGGACTTTTTAGTGGCCAAAAATGAAAGTTTTCCATTTTGTTTGCTTATACACAAAACCAAAACTTAAGTGCAGGGAACAAATTCAGCACAAGAGAAAAATGATTTTAAGTAGATAAGGTTATTGGTATAATGTCTGATAAAACTGTTAAATTATTTTAAAAAATTTAAATAAATCCTTCTATTTTTATTATTTTCAATTAAGTTCAAAAAATAATATTTATAATTAATGGCTGATTAATTGTCATTAATTAAAAAACTTTCACTATGTTAATGTGATGGTGAAAATGACATGTGGTCATATTATTATGTTACATCATTAATTATTATGACATATTATCATGTCACGTCAATGTCATTAAAAAACGACAAATAATATTTTGGTTAAATCAATAATTAATTATAAGACTTATTTGATTAA